TATTGTTCAATGAAAGAGTTAATGTACGATATTTAAAATGAAATAAAAAAATAAAAAAATAAATAAATAAATAAAATGATTATTACGGTGATGACTAATGAATTTCGTAAATCTTAATACGTCCCACACGATAATGTCTTAACAACTTGAAAGTGAAAAAAATTATTTGTAAGATAAATGCGAGAAGTCGTTTAACTTGATATGAAAAAAAATTCGTAAATATCGAAATTAAATTAAAAAATAATTATTCAAACAAATTGATCATATTAATTGCTTTTATTGAAAGTAACATTAATTAATTTGTTTCGATATATCCATTTTTTTTTCTTTTCTTTTCCTTTTCTTTTAATAAATCTTTATGCCTGACTTGTTGCTGCATAACTTTATTTGTTATTATATATTACATAGTATTGAAGAGGTGTAATTTAATGTTTTAGTAATTAGATTTTAATCGCCTAGTAAATGTAATTTAATGAATTTACTCTTTAATTAATTTAACATCAGTAATAATTTTGCTTTATATAAATTTTTTTTCGCTTCATATTTCACTTGTCAATATATATTAAAGTTTTTTTTTCTCGATACTACTTTTTCTTATATAGTAAAATTTTATTAAGTCAATAAGTTTTATTTTATTTTATTATTCCTTCATTTTGCATCTATTAATATTATTTTTTTTTTAATTTTTTATTGGGTATTTATAATTATATATTATGTACTTGAAATATTGTACGGAAACTATTAATTTTTAATTACTTTCTTCATTATATATATATATATATATATATATATATATATATATGGGACTATTATCATGAATTTTAGATTGCTCGTTAATATATTAAATTAAATAATTGATACAATACAAATTAATTCAGTCGCATAGAGTAAAACTTATTATTTTCAAATACACCGTAAGTCAAAGAAGTAGTCACAATTAGCTCTAAAACAAAATTTTTTTACATTTAGTATCAGAGAACCAATCTAAAAGTTATGTAAAAATATTCTGAAAAATTTATAAACATATTTAATATAGTATAAAATTCAGATTATATTACATTATAATATATAAATATAATATAAATTTATTATAATACTTACTTATATTTTATTATACTATATTATATTATATTAATTATATTATATTATATTATATTATATTATATAAATATTATAATATTATATTATATTATACTATATTAAATAATTACTTATTATAATTTATTATAATACGTGTTAGGTAATATTATATTATTGTGTTAAGCTTAAAGATTAATATAAAAAAACTTGAAGCAAATTTATATTTTTATATACACATATAAAGGAATTTTTTTTTTTTAAATATTATAATATTATATTATATTATACTATATTAAATAATTACTTATTATAATTTATTATAATACGTGTTAGGTAATATTATATTATTGTGTTAAGCTTAAAGATTAATATAAAAAAACTTGAAGCAAATTTATATTTTTATATACACATATAAAGGAATTTTTTTTTTTTATTAGCCATATTTAACAATGTAATTTTTTAAGTAATGACATTTATATATCTAAATTACATATATATAGAATTCGTAAGAAATAAAATATGTTTGACAATTGTTTCATATTTACCGGTATTAATTTCTTATTCATTATCTTTCTTAATCGTAATTATACGTTAAGTAAAGAAAATTCGAATTTTCAAAAACATTCCAAAAACTGACAGTTTTATTATGAAGATATTTTTACAATTTAATTTATAATGTTCTTTTTAACTAATTGAATATGAGTAATCTGACAGTTTTTATTATTCAAATATGAAAATTTACTTTTTTCTTTATGAATTATTATTATCTAGATTTTCTAAACATTTTTCTATGGATATTGAACATAATTGCAATGGATTTATTTACTTATGAATACATCTTTTTCAATCTACACCTAATAAATTAATTAATATAAAAAAAATTGTTGCGGTAAAATTATAATTTGAGAGCAAAATTTATTAAAATTCCCAATGGGACGTGATATTTAATTTGAATTCCTATAAAGCTTAAATGATAATTGTAAAAACTGCTTTTATATCTAAAGTCTTGATTTTTTCAATTTATAGAATTTTCTTCGACGTAGACGCGATTAAATCGATACTACCATAATTATAATTAACGGATAATTTTTTTTATTCTCATTGAAATATTATATTTGTAAAATGATAAAAGATTTTTCCTTATTATATTAAAGTTCGGTATAGTAAAATCTATACGAAATAGAAGTATGAAAATGAGTGTTTTTAACTATTAATAATATTAATACCTCAGTACACTTTTCAATATGACGAAACTCCAAAATTATATAAATATTAAATTGTAGCTAGAAGTCCGTAATTTTTTTTTACATAAAGTTAAAATAATCATACGGATGGTGACTTTTCTAAAGCGCAAGAAGTAACTATCACGAATCAAATGGTAAACCCGTGTGCCTATGTACATGCGTGTTCACGCGCAGATTAATGTGCATAATATTACATAAAGAAGAGATAGATATTTTCATCCTCTTGGAGGAAAAGGTAAGAAGGATAAAAAAGTATCAAACACTTTCGCCTGAGATATTTAAATTGGAATCAACATTTCTGCGAAGCAACGTGTGTGTGCGTGTGCGCACGCGCACACACGAACACGCACACACGCGCGATTGTACGTATTTTTGATCACGCAAGTCTGTAAATACTTTTATCTGATCAAATCCAGTGCGATCATGCACGCAGGGTTACTTTCACTAGCAAGTAAAGGATGTGGACAATGTCTTTTTTGCGATCCCACCGCCACCGCCACCGCTGCCGTCGCTGTTTCTACAACAGCGATGGCACCGGTTTCACCATTAAAGGAGTCTCACAATGATTGCTTCCGGTAAATCATCGTTTTTCTCCCTGCCATGTCACATTTATCAAATTGCTTCTATTTCTTTATGCTTTCTTATTACATTAAAATCTTTTATATGAATGACATTATAATATTAGATATTACTTAAAGAATTTCATTCATACGAGTAAAACTCATATTTTTGCGTGAAAATATATTTATAATTGCTGGATTAAAACAAATTTATTTATTTGCGTTATTTTATCGAATAACATTAAACGAACTGTGTCGTCTTCTTCTTCTTCTTCTTCTTCTTCTTTTTCTTCTTCTTCTTCTTCTTTCTTTCTTTTTCTAGATAGAAAAGTTCTTTTCCTTTGTTCTTTTGTTCTTTGTTCTTTTTCTTTGTTGTAGATATGATAATTTTTATTATCATAAAAATATATATTTAACATGTTCTTATATAATTACAAAACGAGCAACTTATAGTAAGTAAAAATAATTAGCTATTTTGTTATGTTTTTATTAAATATTGTATCTATAGAAATTCTTTACTCTGCGCACAATATTATGTAGCCAATGTTTTATAAATAATCGAACTTTGGTGGTAAAATTAATTATAAAATTTTAGGTACTGAAATTAATTTCACTGTCATTCGTAATAATAATGGTCGCTTAAGGTTTGACATTTGCAAGATCCTCGGTTCCCTTTATCCATGCTATTACGAGCATTTATAATCCTACGTTTCAGCTATTTTTCTGTGAAAATATCTTGGCAGACAAGCGATACAATTGTCAGTTGTATTGCTTGATCAGATCGCGTGCTGATAGATAGACTGCAAATGTGAGAGACTAGCGTCGCCAACATGTGCAAATATAATCGGATGTACATTTATTTGCAATCCATTGCTTATAGTGTGTTTGCAAATCAGAATCAACGAAGATTATCATATTTTCTATCATTTAATATTTTATAGACGCTTCATTGCTTATATATCGCTTCATTTTTGAAATAGACTTGATATTATAATGGTAGAACAGAAGTTTTTTTATGGTAATTGTATGTTTAATGCCTTATTCCTAGTTAAATGAAATAATAATAGATAATTTATTTATATTAGCTTTATTTATGGCAATGTAAGTTTCTTGTTAGTTAAAGTATGGTAGAATTTTTTGAATATTTTTTGCTAAAAAAAAAGTTATGTGAAATAAATGTGGACTAATTGATTCTAGCTTTGATAGTTTTATGTATTTTATGCAATTTAACATCTTAAATCCAAATAGCATAGAAGGAATCATATATGTCAGCTTTCTCTTAATTTTATTTCTCTTAATATATATTATTAACATTGTTATTATTATTATTATTGTTATTATTGTTATTATTGTTATTATTGTTATTATTGTTATTATTATTATTAATAATGAAAAAGAGTGCCTATACGTACATATCGAAGAAGATCTTGAAAAATTATTCTCCGAAAGTCTGTAGATTATAGTGTTACTGTATCGGACAACTTAATGAAGCAGATTTCACTCTGTTCTGCTTTTACATTTTACTTTTTCATTTAAATGTGAGTTCATGTTTGATTTATATATAAGGAAGCGAATTTCATTATATATTAAATTTTAAATATTTATTTTTAATTAATTAAATTGTAAAAATTAAATAAAATATCGATTATTTCGATCTATTGGACTAATCAGATGATTATTTTGGCTATTATTATGCATACAAAAAAGAGGCAAAAAAAAAAAAAAATAAATAAATAAATAAAACAACAAATATTTTCAAACGTCTTGAGAAATAATTTCATTTTATATAATTTCAGAAGTTTTACTTTTAAGAATTATATGTTTAGAAATAAATATATATGTTTACCGCATTAAAATTTTTCCCAGAAATACATATCAGGTTGATAATATTATAATTAAGCTAAAATTTTATGTACAAAAATGTTAATAAAAACATTATATCGGATACATTAAAATAATTTAATAATAAATATCAATAATTAAATAAGGGTACATTTATTGTTTCTAAATTTATTTCCTATTATAACTTTGACATATATAAGAACGATACGTCCTTAGAATAAATAATTTATATTTAAAAGTTTGATCATCGCTATATATAAATATAATAATATATAATAATCTCAAAACAATAAAACAACGAATATCAACATTATCGGACTTTTTTTATTTAGTGGATAAATCTTCTTCCGATACTTCTATTTCTCTCCCAATACCTAATCTACGGAACCTGTCATTATCCATGTTGCTCTGTTTGCGTAGTCGAGACGAAACGCTGGTAAAATTATTGTTTTTGCAGCTCTTGACCCAACCTTTCCAGTACTTGAATCCTTCTTGGTTGGCAATAATTTTGGCGCAGGCAATATCATCTTGAATATCGTCGTCGAGAAAATCGTTGCAGTTCTTTCGGCAGACACCACCAGGTCGGAAAGCGCTGCACCACTTGTCACTGCTGATCTGTAATATTCCGTAGGAATAGCTGGCCTTGTGACCGGGGCCCGTTTTCTTTCTCGTGTCAAAGTTGCTCTCACTTTTTATTAGGCAAATATAGGAGCTGATGAACATGCGCGGAATGCCGCCGCGAATCAACTCTTTGGCTGCTTCGGATGGCAAGAGGATCCGAGCCGAGGTTTGCTGGTTGGAAATTATGTGGCTCGCCAGAGTCGTTAGAAGGAGTAGTGCACTTAAGTAGCTCATCATTCTGCGATTTAGTAATTAATATTAATGTTAATGATATTAAAATTCTTATATTATGTATTACTTGTAGAATAACAAAGAGAAGTTAATCAAATTAATTTTAATTTTTCACAAACATTGGCTTAGAAGTATTGTACGATTATGTCAAGTGCTATACAAACAATTTTATAAAACGTTAAATAATTTTACAAAAATATTACAGTAGGATTACATTATTTATGAAGTTTCTAAGTAATTATTCAATATTTCTCCATCGTACTTTTATCGAGTTATATTTTGTCATTTGAGTTACCAGAGTGCGAAAAAAATGTTTCAAAGGTAAAGTATAACTATAAAAATTCATGTATTTTTTTAATATTTAAATACTCTGTGCTATAAAGGAAAACATATAAATGTAAATATTAAGAAGGATTTAAGAGATTATTATTTATCGCTAAATTATTAAAGATTTTCAAATTTTCAATTACTATTAGCTTAGCTTGATAGTTTTAATCACATAATAATATTGAGTAGTAAATTTAATTAAATCATATTATTTATAGTATAATACATATATTATACCTTATGTTATCTCAAATAACACACACACACGCGCGCGCGCACGTACGCACGCACACAAACTCTTTTTAATTGTAAAATATGCTTTAATTATATTTTTTATTATTTTTCTTATTTTTATTATTTATAAAAAGGGCACTTGTAAAAATCAAATAAAATTTTCGACTTAAACTAGAATTAAATAAATTATATATATATATATATATATATATATATATATGAAATATGGAAAATAAAAATAATACATAAAGACAGAATGAATTAATAAATAATGTCAGATTGTTATTCGTATTCATTATATGCAATACTAGTAAAGTTTGATATAAAAGGTGACAACATTTATCACCACAAATTATTCATAATTATGATTAAAATAAAATATATATGAACATTAAATATAATTGAGTAGTCATATAAATTCCATGTTAGCTTATATTTATATTTTTATTTAATTAAAATTAACAGTAATTTTATCACCCAATAATCGATTTAATACTATAATTTAATAGCGATTATGGCGCGAGTACCTTTTATTTTCTATTTCAGATCTTCAAATATAAGCAATTAAAATATTTCATGTATTATTCATAAATCATACAAAAAAAAACATCAGAAATATTTATTTTTACCTAAGCGTATTTAACCTAATCGAAATTTTATTCGAATTTTAAGCATCGTCTAATTTATTATTAGAATTATTTCAAATTTCATTGCTAATAATAAAATTGGCTTTTTTAGTCTTTTAAAACTTAATGTAAAATGTATTGATTCTAGATAATACAATTTATTCGTTACGTCGATGAATAAATGTAGTGACATAAATTTTGATCTTAAAATTTAAAGAAATTTAATAGATGTCGATGAAGTCTTAATTAATTAATACAATATCATATTAATACAATGTTAATTAAAGTTCTTCCATTAATTTACTTAATAATATCATATTCAAGAGCATTCAATCATTTTAATATTATTATAAAATTCCTAGTATTATATAAGCTAGTTGCATTATTAAGGTATGAGTATTGCAGTATGAGAGATGAGGCAATTTTTTAGAAAGAGGTAAGTGGATGATCCGAGACCTGTGAACAACAACTGTGACCTTGGTCCCTTGACCAATAGCTAGCGGCAATGGTTTGAAGCATTATCCGATCTAATTTATTATGGGCTATAATCTTTTTTCGATTCTATCTTTAGAAAATGATTTAGGCATTCCAATTGTCGCGGTTTCTACTGTCCCTTTCGACTATAGTTTGCATATTTCTTTTTAGACTGCGATAAATGAGAATTAGACTGTGGAAAGACTTGTAAGGTACTCTGAAAGCAAAAATTCTTTGTTAAATACTTTGTGCGGTTCATACTTAAAAAATCAAGATACATAATTAAAAGGAAAGCTGTTTATCTAGAAGTGGTTCTTTGTCGAAAAATAATGATTTAGAAATATTTCAATATAATGCAATTAAAGAGAGAGAGAGAGAGAGAGAGACAGAGACAGAGACAGAGACAGAGACAGACATACAGACAGAGAGTGAGAGAGAGAGAGACAGACAGACAGACAGAGAGCGAGAGAGAGAGAGACAGAGATACAGACAGAAAGCGAGAGAGTCAAGAGTATTACATAGGATATCAATTGTGAATGAAATTGTTTTTTAAATCACACAAGTCATGTATCTGTATATTAATATTAAGAATCAAATGTTTTTATATACCTCAATTAAATATAAAAAATATAAAAATATAGCTTTTAGTTTTATAATTTTTCATTCAAATTTTATGATTTTATTTATAGGGAATTTATAGGAAATCATTAAAAACATGACTATTTAAATTTATATTACATATAATATTTATATAATAATTATCTTAGTAACAAATTTCATCAATGATAATTTCTTTGGTTTAGAACTATTTATAATATTAATAGTATTTTATTATTTATAAAAAAAAAAAAAAAAAAAAAAAAAAAAAAAAAAAAAAAAAAAAAAAAAAAAAATATTTATTAATCATTATGTTTGTTGTTATTTGCAGATTAATATTATTATTTTTCTGTGATCTATGTGTACGTAATATTTTTATACGAATTTTTTATTATATACATTTTGCAAAAGTAAAGATTACTAAATATAAAAGTGAAATATTTAATTAAAAAAAAAAAATTTCTAACATTTTTTATTAATCTATGCGATGAATAGAAAAGATAATTAAAATTATTATGTTAGAATGTATTCATAAAAAATAGCCGCAATAATCTATGATTTAGAACAGTTGAAATATTTGGAATAAATATGGAAGAAAAATTCCAAGTATTCTGTTGATGTTATCTTGCGCATGTGGGTTAGATATTTATCGATAAGATAAATTTCAATTTTTTTACTTATGCCTCACATATTATAAATATAAACGATTTCAATATAAATGTTCGAATTCAGAATTTTATTCATTTCTTACAATACCATCATTTATTAAATTCAAGAATATTGAAACGAGCATCGAAATGATTTTTAAACCAAAATATAATTTAACTTTATCTTTATATAATGATATGCTTATATTAGAATTTTTGCAACGAAATGATATAATGAAGTGGATAAGCTTTATAACATTTATGATTTAAGATATTTATGATTTAATTACGACGTATGGTAGTGTCACCACTGTTGATCATTTAATTGTAAATAAATCGAATTTTTATACAAAAGCCGAAAATTAACGATTTATTTACTTTAATTTTTAATAACGTTATTTTGCAGCTTTAAGCAGGACAATTAACAAGAAAATACAATAGTTTTTTTCTTAACGAACTTGATTTGTTAAAATGTAGTAATGATGCGCAAAATCTTACTAAAATATAGTCCATTAAGAATTAAGAAACATCTATATATAAATAGTTTTTAATTCAGTTGATATATTATGTTTAATGCTGTGTTTAAATATTGATTAATGAGTTAACAATTATTATTTAATCAATGTTCAAATACGAATGCAAATTAATAGTATATCAGTCGCGCCCTCCTTACGTAAATAAAAAAGATGATTAATTAATTGATTGAACAATTACAATCTCTCTCGAGCACTTACGTCTCAAATGGGTAAGATGGCTACAAACTATCGGCGAAGTAACAGGAGCGAATGCCGTGGGATAATATAACGAATAAGTATGGTAATAATAATAATTATTAAGTTCGTCAGGCGACACATGTTACACTGAAAGAAATTTATTTAAAGACAACTAGTTATTCCGATACTGTGGCGACAAAGCATCTAAACGTGTTTGCTCGCGCAATAGATAAGAGGGAAGAGGAAAAGACCTTGAGCTTGGGGCACTGCAATTCCGATAAGGCAATAGCACTTACACGGTCTTCATTTAATTTCATGCCGACGAAATCCGACAGGTAATGACTCTGTGCAGATGTGCGCGATCACTAATAATCTACAATGAGTTCATTTGCCCATTATTTATAACATATTACCAACTAAACGAATTTCCAACTACATTTAGTGTAGTAACTAAAAATTGAATAAGTACTAAAGTTGCTTATCTATTTTTGCAAATTATTATTAACTTAATGATGAATTATTAATTGGATGTGAAGGTAGTTAAAAGATTTACGAGATTAGTATAGAATTTCACTGTAAATATATTTTAAATAAAATTTTATAACAAATATTATAAGAAATATAGAATAGCTTTAATATTTCCAATATGTTTGTTTTATTATTAATAAGATTTTCAATAATATATTCTAATCGAAGAATAGTATAACAATTCACTTTTAATAATTCAAAAGATAATTAAAATTTACCAGCTAGTATTAGTTTTTTAAAAAAAGATTTTTTTAAAGCATGGCATGGTTGGATTATGATTATTAGCTCTAATTTTTAGGAAAATAAGTCAAATGTCAAAAAAATAAAATAAAAATTTATAATCAAATAGAGTATTGTTATAATAAATAATCGATAGTGTAATAATAGTCTCAAACTAATTGCAAATCATCTTCTCATCCAATCGCAGGATCTATAAACTTTATCAAATTTACGATCCAACGGCTTCTCTTATAATAATGCCGAGTAATAAATTAAAACGCAAAAAGAAATTTTAATATATTTAATACACAGGATAGTTAATTTGAGATTTTTTTTTTTACAAAAGTTGTTATATAATCGAGCGAGATATCATTATATTAATTATTAATTTTTCACATACAAAATCAATAGTAATAATGTATCTTACTAGTAATTAAAGTTTGTTATTAGATAAAAAAAAAAATTTAATAAAATAACGTGTCAATGAAATAACATTGGATTACTTTTCAGCTATCAAAATTCTATTATAATATTGATATTGATAAATAATATTGAAAAAATGCTTCTGTCGATTCTCATATTTAAAACTCATATTTAAAAAAATCACACACACACACACACACACACACACACACACACATATATATATATATAGGCATAAATTAATTAATGTTTGTGTGCAAATTTCTCCTTGAATGAGTATCCATGAAGCCGTGCAAATGCCAAGCACCTGTGCTTACTAGAAAAGAGAGTGAACTTCCGCACTTTAA